AAATAACAAATTCAGGGGAAAAATGAAGGGAAATGGGATTTATTAGGCATTCATGGGGCTTTACTTGTTATGTTTTAATAAACAGGGTGTCACATAGTGGGTGTTCATTATGTTTTGTGTACCTGAAATAGTTTATAATAATTTAAATTATTTGTATACATTATTTCTATAAAGTTTTTATATAATTACATGATATAAAGTAAAAATGTTTTAGAAAATGCTATACAAAAATCCAAGTTGTTATTGTGGTTCATTAAACTTTCTACCTTTTTTACAGTATACTAAAAATGAGTGAATGTCGATGCTAAATTAGAACCTGATACCTAAATTAAACCACCCTTTCTTGATACAAAATCTAGTACATACATTCTATGTATTTCTAGAAATGTTCTGCCTTTCTAGGTTTTGAAATTAATTTTTTATGTGCTGTTATCACTCTTCTATTTATCATTCCCAGTGAGATGGTTGTAGGTACTCTTATGGATGCTAGAGTGATACATATTGTTAAAAATGAAATGTCAAAAAAAAAAGAAAGAAAGAAAGAAATGTCATTCTTTCTGTTATTCTCTGTAATAGGCCTCAGCTGCCTACTGACCTGTGGATGTTAGAATTAAATTACCTTGTCATCTTTTCCAGATAAATGCAGTGCGTGCAATAGTTCCCAATAAAAGCAACAATGAAATCATCCTGGTTTTGCAGCACTTTGATAATTGTGTGGACAAAACAGTACAAGCATTCATGGAAGGTAATTCTACCTCATTTTTTTTTTATATAAGTTTGTATTTGTTCAAATAGAATTTGTTTCAGACTTTTATAACATCCCTCAATCAAATTCCTCATAGACGATATAGTAGACCTGTGGTTCTCAATCTTCCTAATGCCGTGACCATTTAATGCAGTTCCTCATGTTGTGGTGACCCTCAACCATAAAATTATTTTATGAAGTAGAAACGAAAATAATTTTATGGTTGGAGGTCACCACAACATGAGGAACTGCATTAAGGGATCGTGGTATTAGGAAGATTGAGAACCACTGTAGTAGAACCATGATAACGTAACATACCATGACATTTTAAGACACCTCTTTCAGCCCTATAAGCAATTCATTCATAAGTTATATGATACATAGAATAAGAGACAAGCTTGAGAAACTACATCATTTTACTCAAAATGTTCTCTAATGGTATTTAGGAAGAAATCATTCCAGC